AGAAATAATGATGACTGATACAAACGGGGCAAGACGCTTGGCTAAAATCTGACGGATTGGCTTCTGGCTCACCAGCTGTGCAAACCCGAGGGATTAATTTATGCAGCCGTGGGTCGGGCCAACCCTAACAGTTGGTGTAATTCAGGAGACTGAATTGATTGGGTAGGTGGATGGGTGCTGGGGCTGAAATAGAAAAGGATGACCGGGGGGGGGGTCTGCTTGGATCCCTGGAAGTGAATCCTTGCGGGGTTTCCTCAGGATCGAGGCTGGCAAGAGACGGAGCGGGGGCGCAGCCTCCTGGATGCGTTAGAAAGGGACCTGGGTCGGATATCTTGCTAAATCATGGGTTGCCTAATCAAGGTTTGGTGGCTGGGCTCACACTCTGAACTGAGTCGTAAACCATGGTTTATAAACCACAGCAGAGGGGCTCATGCGATCGGCTAAGCCAAATCCAAAGAAGGGTGGGTTTTAGGGGAAAAACACACAAAGAAGCATAGATACAGTTTAGTGTGTTATGGAAACCGAGCCTTAGAAATGACACATGAGAAGTCAGAATGCACTGAGAAGCAAAGACGAGCGATAGTTATGATTACCCCACAATCAGCAAAAGGAGGGCATGTCCTCCTTTTTGTCCTCTGTCCGACAGGCATAACCTTAAAATCAAATATTGTCCGGGTTTTTGACTTTTTAAAAAAAATTTTGGACTGTTTTCACAACAGTAGTCATTCAAACTTCCATGTATTGTGACCTTGTAAATTGTCTGCTTCTTTCTTGTCTGTCCACTGGCTTGACTACCTAGATGTACATTACAGGTAGTCCTCGCTTACCGACTACTCATTCAGTGACCATTCAAAGTTATGATGGTGCTGAAAAAGGAGACTTACGACCGGTCCTCGCACTTACCACCGATACAGCATCCCCATGGTTACGTGATCACGATTCAGGTGCTTGGCAGCCTGTGCACATTTATGATGATTGCAGTGTCCCACGGTCACGTGATTGCCATTTGCAACCTTCACAGCTGGCTTCTGACAAGCAAAGTTAATGGGGAAGACAGCAGGAGGTCACAAGTCGCAGTCATCTAACATCACACTTAACAACTCGTGGTGATTCACCTAATGACTGCAGCCAGAACTGACAGCATAAGTCAAGTGCAGTTACATGACATTTCATTTCACAACTGCATCGTTTAATGACCAAGTTGTCAGTCCCAATTGTGGTCAGTCAGTGAGGACTACCTGTATTTAATTTATTTCCTGATCCCAGCAATCAGCTTCAATCCACCCCCTTCAAATCTATGATTGCTATAGTCTGTAGATCACATGACTCATACATTTCTATAGTGAAATCGGGACAGCGCTTCGTCTTCAATTCTGTATTATCACTAACATATGTTATTGAAAATAAAAATATGCTGGAAAAATTTTGTGATTGCAAAACCAGTCTTTCTGATGCTGGAAAAAGTAATTTCATATATATGTAGGCCTAAGTACTTTTTTTTTTTTTTTTGCAGTTTTTCACTGTAATTTTTGCTGCAGATGCCAAGAAGGTTAAATAGCTAGTGTGTCCTCCTTTCCCCCATTTGTCCTCCTTTCCAATTTCTGTGTCCTCTTTGTCTGTTCAGCTATCTGGTAACCCTAGCAATAATCAGTGTAATCTGAGCATGTCTGCTCACACATGAAATCTACTAAGCTGAAAAAGATTCACCCCCTGCAACGAGATCAAGATGCACTTACCAGCTTATTACCTGGATTCAACCCAGAAAAATGTAATTGGACTAGGAAATATTGCTCAGTAAACTACAGCCTTCCCTTACACACCTTTACCATGCAAATAAACCCCACACATTGAGAGTAACTCAGAACTGCATGGTTAACCCCAACTTTCCATTCACACAGTATGCTAAGCCATGGTTTGCTCTATCTCGGTTTGCTGAAAGAATCACAGTTCTTATTATAGACCATAGTTTACAAGCCACAATGTTTGGACGCAAGCACCATATTAAGCTAAAAAGAAGCAACCCATGTTTCAGTTCTGCATAATGTATGAACCTGCCCCAAGTTCCTTTTTACAATATGGTACTGAAGTTGGGTTTCAGTTGGAGAATCCTCTTAGACCCTTACAACAGTCCATCAGGTAGAAATTCAGTTGATAGGAAGCATATTGGATTTCTGTTTGTCACAGATCTTTGAAAGCACAGTCATGTTGTCTTCCCCACAAGGTTTTTCTTTTAGGGTTTGACCTGTATTCTTTCACCCAGATTGGCTGAAGCTAAAGTAATGGTAAAACCAAGCTCAGTCTCTAACATTTTTGTGGATATGTCCACACCATTTCCTTGGTTTGCCATTGCCTTCTTTCAGGATTTAAGTCTGATTTTCTGATCTACCGTGTTTCCTTGGGATTTGTGCATGGATTCCCATAACAAGTGCTAACAAGACCCATAGCTTGGGTTCACATAACCCACCACATTTTAGCCTACCACACTGGACAAAAAAAATTCCAAAGGGCAGCCAGGATAAAAAGTCATCTTGCCCAGGTCATTTGTAAAGCCCTTGAAAGAAAAGGGAGCCTCTGAGTACATGTGCATTGAATTTTGTATTGACAATCACTGCTGCTGGCACCGGGTGATACATCAACTGCAGATGTGTTCCAGAGTTCAATTAGGGCTCTGTTGAAACTAGTAACTCTAAGAAGAAAGGTGGTGGGTGAACTTTTGCTGCTTTGAAGCCAGCCTGAAAATGCAATCAGGGCTTCCAAGAAGCAATTACAGAATATTTTCTAACCGAAGAAAAATGTTTTTGTACCCTGCAGACGTTCCCCATAGAGTCAACGTCCTGCTGAATGATTTCATCATTCACTTACTGTTCAGTCTGCATGTTATCTCAGTATTGTATTTGAAAAGGACAGATAAAATGAAGGCAGCCACCCAGCTAGCTGCAAAGAGGAGCAGTGACTAAAGTGATTCTGGTGGCTAGGAAGCCATTCATAACAGTGATGCTTCAGTTCAAATCTGGGTAATACTTAGATGGGAGACCACTAGGAAAAACCAGGGCTGTAGGCTAGACTAGGAATCTGAAAGACATCCCAGGAGAAGGAAGTAATGAAGCACTGCTGTATTTTTGTCAAGAAAAGCATGCAAAGATAGACTCATAGTTACCAGGAGTCAAGTGTGCCTTGTAGGAGTCAAAGTTCAGGTCAAGTTTAAAACTGCTTTGGACTCTCAGCACAGGTTCCTTCCTCCAGAGAAAAAGATAATGTTTTAAAGAAGAATGAGGGCAGACAGAGGCCAGCCATGTTTTTCTTCTCTCCAAGGAAAAGGACACAATGACAGTCCTTCCTTCCGGTCTGCAGAAGATTGGAAGGTAGCCATCGCTTGGAATCAAGTGATCTGCCAGCTTCTTTCAGCAGATCAGCAGGGAGCAGGTTCACCGAAAAGGCCCAGGGCAGGCAGCCTGGAACAATTTGCTCCATTTTCCACCAGCCAGAGAGCTGCTCTCAGTGCCCTCCTTGAAACCAGTGAGCATCTGCTGCCAAAGACAGACAATTGTCCCACACTGCTTTTTAAAAGACGTTCCCTTCCTTTTGAGTGTAATTGTAATAATCTCTAAAAAGGTTAATCACACTGGATGGCTGTGCTGAAAAGGAATAGTTCTGTCTTTATTCTGGGATGAATGCAAGAGGTAGGGGCCAGAACTGGCTGAACTGGCTGGATTCATGTTTTAGTAGAATGTGTATTACTTTGGCCCCTTCATATCCTCCCATTAACTGTTGGGTGGAGTAAAGACCTTAGCACAAAAAAACCACCCACTTTTCAGCTACTTGTGGGTAGTCCCACTGTACGAGGCACCTCCATGAACAGAAATGTAGAGATTTCCATTAGGTACAAAAGCACTTCCAATTCACCTGCAGATGAATGCTTCTAGGCAGGTGACCCTATGGGGACCAGTTGGCTAAATTCATGATTAAACTCATCTCCACTCCTCTTGTAGTTAAGCACTAGGGGAGGAAATTGCTAGAGACTTATGTTCTTTTGAATTTCCCCAGGAGCAGCAGCTGGTTGTGGAGAAGAAAAGAAAGGAATCATAATCTCATCCCCAAGTTGTGGGACATGATCTTTAAGGATGCAGGAAGGAACCTAACTCACTGGGATCTCTAGGTACAATGAGTAATAGATAGTGGGAGAATAAGGTTTGGTTTTACAGGTAGTCCTCAGTTAACAACTGTAATTGGGGACCAGCAACTTGTCACTAAGCAACACTGTTATAAAGCATGACATCATGTGACTGCACTGACTTTCAATGGCAGTTCTGGTCATTAAGCATGACATCACATGACTGTGACTTGTGACTTCCTGCTGGCTTCCCCATTGACTTTGTCAGAAGTCAGCTGTGAAGGTTACAAACGGCAGTCACGTGACTGCA